TGCCCATCCTTCTCCAGCAGAGCAGCTGGTGGGCAGCACAACTCTACCAACAGGCCACCAGAGTAACTAACAAAACTACAAATATAATGAGACCACGTCTAGCTGGATGCCACTGCCTGCCAAGGCTCTGAGACAGCAACCTTCTTTTTGTTAGTTTGGGATTGATCAGTGGTGTGAAGGACTGGCCACCCTGAGCAGAGGTTCCCCTTGGCCCTGTGAGGGTCTCAGAAGGGATGTAGAGGACTGTCTACTACAGCACCACAGCAGACTATTTACAACTGTGTGTCTACCATCTAGACACCCCAGAGTGGCACAGATGGTTGAGTGCTCATCCACTAACCAGAGATTGACAGTTTGACTTGACCCAGAGGTGGCTCTAATCAAAGGACTCGTGATCTACTTTCCAAAGATCACAGCCGTTGGAAGCCCTGTGGAGCTGCTCCTCTCCACATACCGACTACCACGATCAGAGCCAGCCGGACAACACATGGTCTGCTTGGGGGTTTGGTTTTTGTAGCCACTTAAGGAAGCTCTGGTGGCTTAGTGGGAAGGAACTGCCCTGCCAACACAAAGGTATATGGTTCAAATCCACCCGTTGTACCATGGGAAAAATCTGAGAAATCTCCTCCTGTGCCATTTACTGCCTCTGAAAACCTGATGGAGGGTCAGCTGTGGTTTGGTTCCAACTTGACGGCACACAACAACAACCATAAATAAGGACCTCCTGAGTTGGGTGTTCTCCAGCAGCCTTCCAGCTTTGGCCCTCAAACATTCACCCCCAGGGTCTGTTCCCCAAGTTCCAGGCACCCCCACCGGCATCACACCATGGGCAGTGCCCGGAACTTGTCCCAGGGAGTGGTGCTTGTGAACAGTGTGTAGAGTCAGGCTCAAAGGGGCCAAAGTCAAAGAGGCCTCTTGTGAAGTCATTTTATTTCCATTAAAACAACCTTTCATTTTATTTCCATTAAAACAACCTTCGTTACACTTTAGAGCTTCTCTAAAGAACTGCCAAGCCAGACTGGACACCAATCCCCCTTCTCTAGACAACTTTAGGGTCAGGTCATCTTCACTCCACTATGAGCCAGAGCAAGCACTGAAAGCCCATTCCCTCAGGGTGCTGTGAACCTGGGAAACCTACCTCAGAATGACCAACAGCAATGCCTGTGGCTAAAGCAGACCTTCCTCTCCCAGGAACCCGAGGCTGGAGTGCTCGGGAGCCCCTTCCTGGCCATCCATCACTTTAGCTTCCCCACTAGACCAGCCTCTCAAACCTTGTCCCCCTTGGTAAACCCTTGGGGCGGTCAGTAAGGATAAAGGTGTTTCTCCTCCAAAAACACCTAGGGTCACCCTGAATTGACTGCCTCCAGGACCCAGGACCTCCAGAGACAGGCTCTATGACACCCAGAAATGAGTCCCGGAGATTGAGGGCCAGGGTTTGTGTACACCAACTAGACACCTTGTCGCCCAGCTATACAGCTGGGCGGCCAGAGCTCAAGGAGGTCAGAGGTCTTGTTTGTGGTCACACAACCACAAGGTCTAGGGTGGATGATGTCCTAAGATTCCATTTCCCCTCTGCCTATCTGACTCTGGGTGAGTCTGTGAATGTATGAGTTAGTGAATTAAAAAGAAAATCAGTAAGACTTTCTTTTTTCAAATTAAGCTGAGGCGTGGGTGCAATGAGTTAAGAATGAACTGGACAAGAGAGCAGCTAAGTGGTAAAAGAAAGAGCAGAGGACGGAGAGGGAGGACAAAGGAACAAGGATGGACTGAAGAGAGGCCAGAGGGAGTGGAGAAGTCCGGCTGGGGACGCCTGCCCCAGCTGACCCCTGGGTCACTTCCAGGTCATCGCCACCATCCCGACCAGCAGGCTCAAGTTCCTCAAGGAGGCAGGCCGGCTCACCCAGAAGGAGGAGATCCCTGAGGAGGAACTCAACGAGGATGTGGAGGAGATTGACCACGCTGAAAGGGAGCTGCGGCGGGGCCAGATCCTGTGGTTCCGAGGGCTCAACAGGATCCAGACTCAGGTAGGGAGCTTACTGGGGCCACGTCAGTCCTGTAGGGACAGAGATGAACAATTCTTGCTGTGCAAATGACAGACCACAAAGAGACCAATGTCCCAAATCAGGCAGCTCTGGAGAGGTGCAAGCAATCCTCACCACCTCAACCAGTGTGCTCCTCCATGCTGCTCACACTCAGGCTGCACCGTCAGCCTGGGGAGGGATCAGAGTGGGTGTTACAATCAGCAAGGGCTGAGGGGGGTTTTCTAAAAGGACAAGGGGTAGGCGGGGACTCGGGATTGAGGGAGGGGCTCTGGTGGGTGCTGCTGTGGTGGAACGGTGCAGGAGGCATGGATTGGAACTGCCAAGGCTGCAGACAAGTGGCTGCCATGTGGAGGAGCCAGAATACAGCCCTAGGCCAGAGTGTGCCCACCTTCTCCCAGGGCCAGGCACAGAGAAAGCATGCTCTGGGGCACACCAGCCACTTGCTCTTAGGCTCAGCTCATGGCACTCTTCCAGAGAGGTGTCTTAGGAACTATGAGATCTCTTTTCTGAGGCTGTGTGGTCCCTACCCCATCACACTCTGGAACACCACACGGACGAGGACCGAGGCCTCTGTTGGAGGGCTCCTGCCTCCAAACTGGTGCTGCCTTGCCCTGGACTGATCTCTAGCCCTGTCTCTAACCAGTGGCTAAGCCTAGCGGTAGCACATCTGTCTCCTGGGCGTAGCTCTTTCATGGTCCTGGTCTAGAAGGCTGTGTCAGCCCTTGTGGTGACTCACAGCACTGCACAAGATCCATCTACCAAGAGGCAAAGCTTGGGCTTGTCTCTTCTTCCCCTGAGGCTGCCCAGAAGAGCAGTGCTCTGGAGGGGGCAGTCCAGCGTGTTTGATCTGGGCACTGCCTATCCAGCCTGCCTCCAGGCTCAGACTCCCCATGCATGAGGACCCACCAGAACAAGCACTCTCACAGCCTCAGAGGGGCAGGTGTGCACCCCACCCACCAGGTCAGCAATACCTGCATTCAGATGAGCCTCGCTGCTAGGCTGGCCTAGCTTGGGGGGTGGGACAGGTTTCAGACACAGCTCCCCAGTTCAGGCTGGCTGCCCCTGCCTGAGGAGATAGCCAGGCCAACTCTCTGTGGGAGGGTGAGCAGCCCACCGCACAGCAGCCACGCCTGCCAGGCCTCCAGGCTCGGAAGACCAGGCTAGAGCTCCCTGAGCAGGCCCAGGTTCCTAGCTCTCCTGGCTCCTGAGCACAGACATGTGCTCGATGCTTAGCCTACCAGGTGGGTGCCATGTCTCTTCTGTAAAGGTTGGAAACAGCGTGAAGTGGCATCCAGTATTACCTATCTAGTGGATAATCTGGGTCATGGGATGTCCCTCCGGACCTGCCCTCTCCCCTCTACACTATTCCACTCCACATGGCTCTGAAAGGACCCCAGGGTCACTGCTGGCCCCTAGACCCCGTGTGTCACCACCCCACTCCCAGGCCACCCCCAAGCCCCACACTGGCCCCTGCCCACTGCATCCTTCCTGGGAGCCTGGGCTGCAGAGGGTCCGGGAGCTGAGCAGATGCCCTTGGAGCCTTGGAGTGTGTCTGGCACCTTTTTGTTTTCATTTAAGTGGCGTTGTTGTTACCGTGCCTGCGGCTGTCCTTGTGACGTTGAGCTGTCACTTGTGTAGCTGTTGTGTCTGTTCTTTTCGCAACTTGTCTCGTTCTCTCCTCCGTTGCAGATTGAAGTAGTCAATACTTTCAAGAGTGGGGCCTCCTTTCAGGGGGCCCTCCGGAGACAGTCCTCCGTCACCAGCCAGAGCCAGGACGTAGCCAATCTCTCTAGCCCTAGTCGCGTGTCGTTGTCCAATGCTCTTTCCTCTCCGACCAGCCTTCCTCCTGCTGCAGCTGGCCGTGAGTGACTCCTTCCTGCTGCCGGCGCCTCCGACGCCAGCGCCTGGGCGGGCAGGGGCAGGGGCAGGGGCACCCGAGAACAGGGGGGCAGCTGGCCACTGGTAGGCACAAGGGCTGAGGGATCACAGCTGGTCAGGAAAACATAGCCAGGCCGGGGACAGGGTCATTCTGGGGTCAGAGCCAAGGTAAGGTTCTGAGTCAGAGGACAGGCAGGAAAAGGACCATCTTCAGTCAAGGAAGTAGGTCCAGTCTACAGTCATATGGACAAGGGGCCGTCAGGTGGGCACAGAGCATCCAGTCAGTCTAGGATCATACCTGGTCAGGAAGTGAACAGCTAGCAAAGGTCCTAACTACTCAGGGGACCATAGTCAGTCACAGTGGGGATCCATGCAAAAGAGAGGTCATGTCACTCAGTTTCCCAGCTGGCCAGGAGGTAACTGTCAGTGGTACCTGTCACGACAAGAGGGACAGTTAAACCACTGTAGGTCAAAGGTCACAGTCAGTCAGAAGCCCAGCCCAGCAAGGAATTCACACAGCCTGGAGGCCCATCCCAAAACTCCGGTACCCTTTGCCCTTTTCCTCTACTCTGGCACATCTGCCAGCATCAGTTGCCTTTCAGATGCCTCTCCTGCTTCACTCTGACTCCCTTCCTGGAAGGCGCAAGCTTTCTGATCCATCCACCCATTTATCCATTCATCTGGGCAATAGTAGACAAGAATGGGACATGGCCACGTCCTGTCTCCAAGAGCTCAGCATCCCTCAGGGATGAGGCCTCCCTCTCCATTTCCTGCCTCCCCTCACCTGGAACTCCTGACCCTTCCAATTGCGCTCATTTCCCACACCACCATTTCTGACCAGGGTCTCTCATCTCTGGCCTTGTCTGGATCTTTCCTGAACCTCTCCGACCCCAGAAGGAAGAAATCTCTATTGACCACCTGTCTCCCTCACCTTGTCTCCGAGTAAACTGTTGCCATTGAGTTGATTTCAACCCATGGTAATCCCTATGTGTCAGAATAGAACTAGATTCTCACTAGCTGGTATTTTGAAAGTAAATCACCAAGCATCCAAGGAGTCTCTGGGTAGATACAAACTTCTGGTCTTTGTGTTGCAGCCAAGTGCATTGAACATTTGTACTACCTAGAGACTCCTAGCTGCAATTCAAAGTCAAAGTCATTGCTGTCAAGTTGGAACTAGCTGAACTTCCAGTAAAGTTTTGAAGGCTATAAATTGCACAGGATGAGACTGCCCATCTTTCTCCCACAGAGCTGCTGGTAGATTCAAACTGCCAGAGAGACATAATCTTCTAGCTAGCAGGGCTGCTCTCTTCAGACTGTGTGCAGAGCACACCCAAACTACAAGCAAGCCCCCTAGTGTTACTCCTTTCAGACTGGCACAGTGTTGTTGCATTTAGCCAGCCCTCAAGACTTCTGCAATGAGAAATAAAGCTCCACTTCTCATACCTTGATATGTTGTAATATGCAGAACGTACACAAACTATGCAGCTTACCACTGAGCAGGAAGGCACTGCTCCAAGTGGTACAGCTTCCACCTTAGCTCCTCTAAGAGGAGGAGAAGCCACAGAGAACTCAAAAGTGGCATATGCACACATCCCAGGAATCTCTGCAGGTGCAGCCTTGCCAGGTGTGCAAACTGAAGGATGCAGAGAAGAAGCAGCATCTCAGTGTTCACTTATCAACACAAAAAACCAATGATGGGAAGGCTGACAAGCCAAGGTAGAAGGGAAGTGTGTTTGAGTAGATGGCAACTGAGTCACTTTTCCACAGGAAGGTGGGGATCATTGCCAAGTTTTCTTACAGCAGAAGGTACTTGGTCCCTTCCCACTCCCTCTTTGTCTTAGAGCCGTGTGTGGTCCCCCAGTGGACCCTGCATCTGCTAAGCAATGGTCTGGCTAATCTCTGCCACCTGTTTTGAGATACAGTGACCACAGTGTAGACATGGGCTCCCCCACGGGATAACAAATTGCTGTGGGCTCTTACCACCCAGGAGTCCTACATCCAGCTGGGTCTGATCCTGAGGAGTCAGGCTGCGAGGCAGGGCTCAACTCTTAGCTCAGCTCAGTCTAACCTTTTGGAGGACTCTGCATTGACATCCTCAGGTGCCCACCTAGCCTTTTAAAGTCTTCCCCACTCTCTGCTCCTTGTTGATTGACAGATTGCCCTCTCTTCTCACACAGCCTTAGCTGCATCCCTGAGACATGATGGTGAAGGTTGGAGTAAATGGATTTGACCACATTGGACTCCTGGTCACCAGGGCTGCTTTAACTCTGGCTAAGTGGATATTGTTGCCATCAATTACCTCTTCATTGACCTCAGATACATGGTCTGTATGATTCCACCCATGGAAAGTTCAATGGCACCTTCAAGGCTGAGAATGGGAAACTTGTAATCAATGGGAAAGCCATCACTATCTTCTAGGAGCGAGATCCCACCAACATCAAGTGGGGTAATGCTGGTGCTGAGGATGTGTGGAGTCCACTGGTGTCTTCACAACCTTGGAGAAGGCTGGAGCTCGCCTGAAGGGTGGTGCCAAACGGGCATTCATCTCTGCTCCTTCTGCTGATACCCCATGTTTGTGATGTGCATGAACCATAAGTACGACAACTCTCTCAAGATTGTCAGCAATGCCTCCTGCACCACCACCACCCCTGGCCAATGTCATCCATGACAATTTTGGCATCATTGATGGACTCATGACCACAGTCTATGCCTTTATCGCCACCGAGAAGACTATGCGTGACCCCTCTGGAAAGCTGTGGTGTGATGGCCGTGGAGGTGCCCAGAACATCATCCCTGCATCTACTGGTGCTGCCAAGGCTGTGGGCAAGGTCACACCCAAGCTGAATGGGAAACTTACTGGCAAGGCTTTCATTGTCCCCACCCTCAATGTGTCAGTCGTGATTCTGACCTGCCATTTGCAGAAGGTGGCCAAATATGATGACATCAAGAAAGTAGTAAAGCAGGCAACAGAAGAACCCCTCAAGGGCCTCCTGGGATACACTGAAGACCAGGTTGTCTCCTGTGCCTAACTGTGACACCCATTCTTCCACCTTTGATGCTGGGGAGCGATGACTTTTGTCTAACTCATTTTCTGGTATGACAAT